AAAGAACAAAGAAAGACATAGAGATGCAAAGAGAAAGAGCTTCATTGATAAAAGTGATTACATATTCATGTCAAACTCTAATTTATCTAGTAGTAAGAATTTACAGCAAGGTCACAGCAGAAAACAAAGCATTGGTTCATAAATGAGAAAAAGGGGTTAAACGAAAGACACATATTCAAAAGAATCATAAGCAATTTACGAACGAGGTACATAATTTCCAACGGTCATGGGTAAAATTGGGATTTGTAAAGGAATGGTCCTCCATTCATTATAAGAGTATCCGATGTGTAGAAAGGATAAATGCAGCTACAAGACTGGATCGTGAACATTTCTAACAGTATACAGACAAGAAGGTAAGCACAGTAAATATTCTGAATCCTAATAGTGAGAAGAATTGTTTTGAAGTAGAAACCTTGGGGGACTACAGAAGTCGTACACTGCCTTGTTCCACATGCTGCTGTACCGACAGATATGGCAGTAAATGCACTGTACCTTTCTCCAATTCAACTACAACCTCAGCGCTTTTGTCCTGGTAATCGGGGACTATGGCAGCCTCTGCGTTGTCCGCCACAACTTCGGCGTAAACCTAAACACAAAACAAGATAAAGGATGGATCCAAAAACGTTGTGCAGTACTTGATCATTAACTAACCCTTTCGCACTCCAAATCCTCAACAGGTACAGGGATTTTTTGAAATGAAGGCTGCAATCGACCTGAAGAAATTTTGCTCACTCATCGTCATGATAAGACATGGAAGCGGAGGGTTGAAGTTTTTCCAAACTCTTACCCAAGCAAGTTTTTCCCATTAACTGAGCTTCGGCTTTGGCATAACGCTCAGCAAACCTCTTCTCTTGATCCGATAATAACACAGGTTTCCCTAAAAAAGAAAGAAACTAAAGAAGTTCTTTCAGAAAGGTCCAAACCGATGTACCTTCGACAATTCGCTCTTGATGCTCTCTCAGCGCTCGTCTCGGATTTTTCTCGATTTTTTGCAAACGATGCCTCATATAATCATTAGTCATATACGTAAGACGGTGCAGTTCAAGTCGATGAGCGGAGATTCGAATACTTGCCTGAAAATAAAACTTTCTTTCCAAGTCTGTTTGTTATTATTTTATTAACACAAACTGACCTTTTCTGTACGACCTGCCAAGTTCTCCTCCATTCCTTCTATTTGATCTACCAGACATTCTATAATGTCATAGCGATGAGGTAAGAGACATGGAGCGGCCATTTCATTCTGCCAAGCGATATGCATCTGACGAAGTACCTACAGTGCAAGTTCACAATTAGTACTCGAACTTCCTTCTAATAATTGCCTCAATGTAATCTTATCAAATCTCATTACTTATTATATAAGTCTGATAAAAATAATCTAGAAAAATTCAATAAAGTTTTTGATAAACATAGTATTAGGGTAATGGTGAATTCGACCACTATTAGATTAAATTTACTTGTAGACAAGACCTATTTTTTCTTCCCCCACTTTTATTCTAACATCTGATTCCTTTAAATTTTTCAAGTATTTTGTCTGATCATCATCCAATAAGAGGTAGTGCAAGCTACAAATAGCAGCCATCAGTTAAAGGCATATATTAAGACTCAGCAATCTTCTTTTTCTTAGCAGTGAGGGAAATAAAGGTACATTTTCGTTTCGCTACACAGTCTTCTTCATCTTTTGACAGTGAGGAAAATTAAGTGGTACATTCTCGTTTCGCTGAATTTATAACTCTATATGAAAGAAGAGAGCTTTTATTATGAACGTGTATAAAAATCTACGGTAGTCTATTATCCTCCATTTCATTCCCACTTATTTACTATGTTAGTGACATGGAATTATGAGCAAACTAGATGGGCAATTTTACTTGTTTACTATTTACAAATTATATCAGTCAACATTTAGAACAAGAAAGAAATTCGAATTTTAATTTTGGAAGGACAACGATAGCTACCATAAAGCGCAGATATTGTAGAAGGGATTTCATCTACCTCATCCGGAGTAATCTCTTCTTCGTCAACTGCAGATTGAGTATCCACAGTGCTTGAATTAGAATGTATGGACATCAACG